GAGTGCCGCGCCGGGCAACCCCCTGCCCGCGGCGGGGCGGGGGGCCGCGGGCGGCGGCGCGGGGAAGCGGCGGTTCGCTTCGGCTGGCTGGCGGTAACGTTCTCCTGGGCACCGGCCGTCGGAGGAGTACTTCAAGCGTTTGTCGAATACTTGACAATTCTCTACACAAATCGCGTCATAGGAGCTTGTCATCCAGCTGAGTGTATAACGGACGTTACGTAGGTAGGGGTGTTTCTCTCCATGTACATGAAGACACATCTCTTTCTCACATAAAAACACACTTATCTTTTCCAATAATCTGGCAAAGATGAATGCCTACGATCGGGAGAACCAGCGTGATGATTCGGTCGGTCTCCTCTGGCAAAAGAAAGGAAATGCGTATCCTTAATAAGTGCTTCCTTTTAATCATTTACTTCAAGGGCTTTACTTTTGTTATCTCATCTTGCACTTACAGTAAAACCAGTTAAATTGAGGCGGGATCCTTTTGGAGAGATCAGATTTATCAGTTAATAGTTGAGGCTCCTGTACTTTATTTCTAAACATACTTGAAAATATTTTACTAACGGTTAAAAATTAAACACAAATCTAACAACTGACATTCAAAAGAATCCCCGCCAGAGGAATTTTTCAGCAGAGAGAGATAAAATTTCATCATGCGAGTGGTCCCAGTTTTCTTGGTTTTCTTGTCTCTCCCTTGTTTTTGTGGATCAAAGGTAAGAGTTTATTTTATTGTGGTAGCAGTAATTTATTTTTAAGAAAACAGTTAAAAAGCCATTTATTGTTATAAAAGCAAAACCAGTTGATTTTTTTTAAGTTTCCTTTCATGGTATTTGTGTTTCATACATTTGTTTAAGGTCGGCTCGAATGTTTGAAGCTTGCTATTTCACTTTCATGTACTGATTCTATCTGGGGTTTATGCTAACAGGCTTCTGGAAAATATTTTAATCATGATCCTATCCTAAACCCAATTTGCAAGCATGGTTGACCACAGAAAGGTGCTGCAATTTTCCCTGTCCCCCGTTTTTTGAGAAATGGTATTATAGTCTTCTAACGTGGCATGTATTGTACTGCCTGAAGGCTTGTTGCAGAATCTCTTCCGGCAGAAGTGTCCTAGAAAGCCCGTCTGGGCTGAGCGTTCAGCATGCCCCGAGTCTTTTAGAGAAACCCTTAGATAAAAATCAGCACCTTTTGTTCCCATTCAGGAGAAATGCCTGGTACAATATGGGAGTTAGGCCAAGCCGGATCTGGCTCACAGTTTGGATTCTACTGACCTGAGAACAGCAGGAAGAATTTAGTAAGATTATACAACCGTTAAAAGAGGTTTTGTTGCATTAAATTCTGCCCCAGCAACATCCCCACTGACTCGACTATGGCCAGGATTTCTTCATGAGAACTTTAAACTTCAGCTCTCTTGATTCAGTTGACACAGTCAAAGCTGATAAATCACATTGGAGGACTAACTTTTCTCTCCCGTTTTTATGCAAAGTCCATCCATATATATTTTTTATGTTTCAACATTCTTCCTACCCGTACAATCTTGGTAAGCAAAAGCACTCGGCCAGCAACGAAGTCACCAGCAAGCTGCAGAAACGCAGGTGCGGAGTCACTCACCTAGCGGCAGTCGGACGGAGGGTCAGAATCTGTACTTGCAGTCCAGTGATGACCAGCAACCAGACTGCAAATCCACTGCTGTGCAAGATACAGGAAAAGAGCTGATAAGGAAGGGCACTTAATTTTCAAATTTCTTGAAGATACTTGTTACTTCAGCAGTTGCATGGTGAAACAAATCATTAATTCTAGGTTTCTTTATTTGCGTCTAAGTAGTTCATAAATATTTACAGGTGATACTTAAACCCAAAGCCAACCAAGCCAATAAAAAAGTCTCAGAAAAAAACAAGTTGCTATTTTTTTTTATTTTTCTGGTGTTTAAGTCCCCTTATGTTTTGATTTGCTTACAGTCCCGTTGCTGTGGCGTGTTATAAACCATTGGCTTAAAAAATGTTTATAATCTGCTGTGCACTTCAGCTGATGTTTGAAGAGTAAAGAATATAAAGTTTGTGGGAGACTGGTAAGAGTGAAGATCACACCAGGTGAATGATCCAAGAAGAAAAAAAAATTCAGAAAAACTGAGAAAGATGAGGTGGCCAAAGACAAGGGAATAAACACTCTAAATGATATTTAGCACCTTTGTACTCGTAAGATAGGAAGAGGCTTATGAATGAACACTTTCGTGAGGTCAGTAAAAGGATCTGCAGAACTCTTGGTGCAGTTCCTAGTCTTACTCCCTTTTTTTTTTTTTATTTTATGCCTTGCAGAATGCAGCATCTAATGCTGAAGAAAACCAGTTTCAGCTGGTTGAGCCTGCCAAGCCAGCTGAGCAAGACACGTACCTCATAGGAGAATGCTTAAGCAACCGATACACGCACAAGTCCTGTCAGAAAGTTTTTTGTCACCCGTGGGAACGATGTGTGGAGGGAAAATGCCTTTGTAAGCTTCCTTACCAGTGCCCAAAGAACGGCTCTTCAGTTTGTTCTACCAATGGAAAGTTCTTCCATACTTACTGTCACCTAAAGAGCTATGAGTGTCGATATCCCGCAGCAAAGTTTCTGCACAAGGGAGAATGCATGTCTGAAGGTATTAACACCTCCTTTTCCAAAATTTAGCAGTCAGTCATTTGTGGCCAAGGAGATGCTTACTATTGACAGCTCAGAAAGTCTGTTCGTTTCCTTGCGCTCGTAAGAACATCAGAAACAGAAAATGAGAAGTCATTGAAAACGGGCGGTATCTGTTGATTTTCATAAAAATAAAGGGATTGACAGGCCCAGGTCTCCCTGCTGCTGGTAGGTTGCTCACATCATCAGGTGGAAAGGCAAGAAATAGACACAGAAAAGAGTTCAAAGGGTTCCAAGCAGGGCGGTGACTGTGGCGGGCGGCACAGCGGGAGGGGGCCTGCTGAGAGCATCAGCAGAGAGAGTATCTTTTGGAGAGGGACAGTCCTCACAGGAGCGAGAGTCCAAGGAACGGAGTCGGGATGCTGAGGCGTGTGTGGGAGTGCGTGGAGAGAAGGTAAGCCATGTTGACCTCAGTCATCTTCACGCTGTGGATTTCATCAAAACAGAAGGCCCTGCAAACCAGTGACGGTTTGTGCGCTGACAAGCAGCCATTTGTTCTCGCCTGCTTTTTAGGCTGCGCCCAGCTGCTTTGTCAGCTCAGCCTCTGTCTGAGTGCAGGCAGAAATGGCTCCTGCTAACCAGGCGGGTGGCCTCTTCTAGCAGCAGCAGTTGCCGTTCCTACCTGTCCTCCAGCCCCACCTCCACCGAACGCAGCAGGAGCAGCAAGCCGGGCCCAGGGCTCTCCCGCCCAGTCTCTGTCCCAGTACCCTTCCTCCCTTTCCCCACAGAAGCAGCAGCTCAGCCCATCGCCTTCAGGGTGGCAAAATTCAATTCTGCCTATGCCACTGAAAAGGATAGGAGAGCCTCCGTGTGTTCCTGGTGCGCGCTCTATACGGCTTCACCAAGTTAAGCTGAGGAGGACCTTAGCTCCACTGTAAACAGCAGAAGTGTTGCCACACAGGTAACAGAAGCAGGATCTGGCCATCTTACCTGAAGTGTTACTGGCTGGTTATCAAAAGTCCTCTAAGGAAAGTCATTATACTAAGATGCAGCCTTTCCTAGGTAGACCTCCAGGTACTCTTACGCGGTAGGAACCATTACCCTCATTCACCCTTAAACTGGTATAGTTTGAAAAACTGGCAGGCAGTGTCAATCCTCAGAAAAATCAGAAATAATACCTGAAGCTTCTGATTCCCAATCTACTGTTCTTTCCATATGAACTTTGGCTGTCAATACAAAATTAGTCCTGATTTGTTTCCGTACTGTCTTTCCCCTAGATACATCTATATAATATGATTTTCTTTGGGGATTTTTTTTTTTTATTTCTCCTTTTTTTTTAGAAACATTTTCAATCTCCGTGGGCCATGGAGATTCAAGTTTGCTTCGAGTAAAACCTGTGAATCAGAACAATGACATTTTTGTATGTGATAGTGAGTGGACTATGAATGAAGCAAACGTGGCTTGCAAGCACCTTGGCTTTGAATTGTAAGTAAGTTTGGGGAATTTATCTCTGGATAAGTGCAAGGGATCTGAAAAAGTAGCGATGCTTACATAAGCGTCAGTCACAGTCAGCCAACAGTTAAGACAGAAAACTCATGAACAACGTATTGGCTACAATATTCTGATAAAGCTTCTTAAACTGACACCTGAGAGTGAAAGCCAAAACATAGATTTCTATGTTCTATTACGGATTACAACTATACAAACCATAATTGTTCTACTTTTAAAATAAAGCTGGAGACCAATGCAGGGGTATTCTCTCAGGTCTGTGTAAGGGAAAGTGCATAGATGGACCATCCCCAGGTAGCTCTGAGCAATAACCTGTATGCAGAGAAAAGTTTCTTACGCTAGCTGACAACAGGGCAAAACAGCTCTGTTTTGCCACTTGCACCAGCCAGACTAACAAGAACCAGAACACGTTTTTTTTTCTTTGTTCGTTGCCCCCGCAGCCATTGATTGCTTTAGCCCCAGGGATGGCTGAAGCCACACGGACCTTGTTCTTTTTCCTGCGACCATGCTGATGACCTGAGTTGCACATTCAGCTCCTCATAAAGAGTCAACTCTATATCCTGTACATCATAATTTTACAGATACACAACTAATTTAACTTAGTCAGGTAGGGCTGCCTCCCCAACCCTACCTGAAGACTAAAAACGCTATTGCAGTGCCCTAAATTGTCCCCTCTAGGTGAGAAGCAAATATTTCCTAGTCCTGATCAGTATCTCTTTAGATAGCAGAGAAGGGTTTGTCCTAGGACAGAGCATTCAGCCCTGGAGTCCCATTGTAAGCCTCTCTAGTTACTTATTTACTCAATCCATATTTCTTTAAGGTAGGGGACACATACACTGTTAGGAGGATACCGCTCAGGTAAAACCAAGGGAGATAAAATTTATTAATCTCAGCCTTGCAGTGACGTGAGCTTCCTCAACATGCATTGGTTCTGATGACATCAAGGATACTTGACGCCATGCAGGACAGTTTCCCGATTATGGCTCACCTGTGTCCACAGATAGAGATCTGAGCTTACAAGTTTTGCTACATAAGGAGACTTTTCTATCCATCGTGTTAAACAGTGACTGTCATAGAGTTACAGTTCTATGCAGCAACCTGCAAAAATTGGCACTTCATTTTACTTTTTCTTCCAAAGTAAACATCTCCTACTTACCCCTAGAGGATTCCATTTCTCTTAGCCATGACCAAAATTCTTTAACACTGAGGAAAATCATATAAATTCTAAACAATAAAAGCAGTGGACAATCCATTGTGAAATGATGTAATTTGTTGTTATTATTATTTGTATCTTCACAGAGGTGCTGAATATTACAAAGCCACTTCCAGCATCACAGAATCTGCCTTAAATTCGTTGCACTGCCTGCAAATAACTTGCAGGGGCCTAGAGACAAGTCTTGCTGAATGTCACGTAGAGATGAAATCAAGAGACAGCAATGAGGGACTTGTTAGCCTCCAGTGCTATGAAAATCTCAGAGGTTAGTAGGTTTTTTAGTTTTCTGTCTGTTTGGGGTTCTTACATTTTAAGTTTATTTTAAATAATTAGGACCTGGTTTGCTGAACTCTCAGCCACAGCAAACCTGCACTGAAACCTTTTGATTTTTTTAAATAACCCTTTTGCAGACTTTAAGACAATTGAGGCAGTCTTGAGTCAAGGCAGTCTTGAGTTTATGAGTTTAGAAAATCACTGTTGCTCCTAAAGTATTTTTACAGATACTTCCCAAAAGTAAGTATATATCACCCATGGTTCTGTTTGTTCCCCCATCCCTTCCAACGGTCCCAAGGTATACTGGATCCCACAAGTCTTGTCTCTCCCGGGTTAACTGGTGAGGAGACAGGTGACAGCCTTCTACTCACTGCTTTGTCTATGAGGGAGATCAGTTAGGACGCTAGCAGCACTGTAGCCAGACAAGCATGACTATCGCAGAACTGCTCATGTCTTCTGGGGAGTTTTGGGACTCCTCAGTTTCTCACTGATATAAAGGGAATCAAGTCCTCGTTTTGACTTCTAACAGCTTTCTATTCTTTGTACTGGGCTTTCTTTGGCACTGATAAGCATCAGCCTGAGATACTGCTGGTTAGGAGAGCTTTGAATCGTCTCAGGTTTTTCTTATGCCACAGAAGTAGGAGTTCACAGACTCTTGATGACTTTCTTCTAGAGGGGGAACATCCATCATCTTTATCACTTGAATCACGTACAGTGGGTTCGAACCGATCATTTCTGGATTAGTCCTTGTCTAGAAGACATAAAGTTCCCTTTTGCCAGGCTACTGCAAGTTGGAGGAGGAAAATAAGTGGTCACATTGAAAGCTTGATGAGAAGGCGATTAAAACAATAAAAAAGATTCCTATATACATTCCTGGGACCCAGAGTGCCTACTGTGGACAGGCCAAACTGCTGATAGAATAAAATGCGCAAGCAGAATATTTCTGTGGGCAGTTGTGAACCTGTAGACGTTTCCACACTAACTCCATTTTCGTCGTGCTGCACAGCTTGTTCAGATGGTGAGTTTCATTGTGTCAACAAGAAGTGCATTTCTCTGAATAAAACCTGTGATGGAATCAATGACTGTGGAGACCTAAGTGATGAACTGTGCTGTAGAGGTAACAATTTTCTTTCTCAGCTGTTTCAAAATCATTTCAGCAGAAAACCACCCCCAAAGAATTTTTACAGTGATGTAACAGCTAAAGTCTCTTTTCCAATAAGTCACTACATTAAAGCAATCGAACCATAGTTTATGTATACACAAGTGCAAAAAAAGTAGGCATAATATAATTTTTTGAAGCAGGCAAGTGATCTCTGAGAATCTGGATTTCCTCAGAGGATGAGGAAATACAATGAGATTATTTAGGAGGCTGTGAAACATTGATACAAAAAAAAAGAGCTATATTAGAATGAAAATCTATTTTTAGTTGGGAAAAATCAATAGTAATTAAACAAAGACACTGTTTTTCCAATGAACTATCTGAACTATCTTTAAACCAAAGTAAGATCTCTCTTAAATTTATTACTAATGAAAAATTATCCATAGAATATCTGTGAACAGTTCCTGTCACATTGCTTGTTCATCAGCAGTCATTCTTTCAGCATCTGCAATTCCAGCTGTAACAATTTTTATTAGAAACAAGGAATGGATCTAGCATGACCTGAATGCAGGAGAATACTTTCAGAAGTTGGGTTTCAGGTGCCAAACAGTAATGTGGGTTACAAATCCCATCACTACCCCTAAATAACCTTAATTTTGTAGTTTTACAATTGTCAGTAAATTTAATCTGATAATTGTGGAAACACAGTCACAGGCATTTTAGAAAAAAATAATAAATACCTGTGGCTTCACATATTCAGAGGACATTTATTCAGATTCCACTTGACCAACATAGTGCTGTTTCAGCTGTATGGGCTAAAAACAATGATTCCTGGAATCAAAAGAACTATTTCAACTGAATTCAGTGGTGTTTGAATCATATTGGGATATCTGGATACTTTTAGAGAACTTTCTGATTTTCTGTTAAAGACATGTAAATAGTAGACTGACATGAAATTATAAAGTAGCTCAAAAACCCCTGCCATAAATTCAAGAACTGCTTTGCTTTTGATAATATACAAAGCAATCACAAGAGTTAAAAGGAAGGGCATTCTTAAGTTTATAATAACATTTCATATAATCAAGAATTTTAGAAGAAATAAGTTATTAAATCCAGTATCTTCAAAACAGGACTCTTGATTCCTAACCCTGCATTTAGGCATTTAGCTCATTCAACCAAAAGCCAGCTTGGACAGATTTTGTGGGGGGGGGGG